AAAGAGGACCCATCCAGGAAAGCTCCCCCAGGTACTTAGAGACTCCAGAATCACAACGGAGCTTCCTATGTCTTTCCCCAACACGCCTGCCAACTTTGGTGAAGATTGGATATCGGACGTCCAGGTTATTCACCCACAAATTGGGTCCCCCCAGGAGAGTTTACCACACGGCACAGAAGCCCATTCTACCTATCAGCTGGCAACCAGCTGATCAGAAGCCAATAGGCAGTCACACACACACACACAGCCAGCCACCCCAACAGCCTACTCCCAAACCCCCTTCCTTTCCCTACCTTAGCCTCCACCCCACTCCCACCGACACCCCCTTAGCTTAATAGCTGCTGCCGAGGTCTCCATCAGGCCTTCGCAGCCATGATGTGTAAAAAGGGAGATTGGCTGTCCTTTGCAAAGATAGTGGCTGTGGCTTCATTTAGGGTAGGGAAGCTGCATCTGCCATCTTTGCAAAGGGCAGCCTGGATTCCCTTAAGGCAGGCTAAGGGATTCCAGGCTGCCCTTTGCAAAGATGGCAGCTGCAACTTCCCTACCCTAAATGAAGCAGCAGCCACCATCTTTGCAAAGGGCATCCAGTCTCCATTTTTACATGTGTGGCTCCAAGGCCAGACGACCTTTACGGGGCCTAAGGTAGGGAAAGGAAGAGGTGGTGGGGTAGGCTGTGGTATTGGGTGGCTGTGTGGGGTGGTGGCTGCCTTTCTGGTAGGCAGAATGGTGGTTTCAAACAAAAATACAAAGGACGAATAAAAACAGGTAAATATTCATCCTTTCGTATTCGTGGGGGGGTCTCTGGAACCCACAAATACGGATCAATGAATATTTAATGAATTTGTTATATTCGTCCCCCTCTCTATTTATAATCAAAGTCTCGGTGCATCACACAGATGTGGGTTAGGTGTCTGCATAGGACCTATTCTAGCCCTGAAAGTTTTGAACCCCTGTTTTAGGACATACACATGGCTCCCACCATTCCACTTAATTCCATTTAGATTGCGACAGCAGCAGCTGTGTAAGAGTATTCCTGGGGTAGTTGAGAGAATTGTGGAGAAGAAGAAAAATAATTATGGAAATTGGGAAAATGATATATTCATATATAAACATATAATTAATGTTGTGTGTTTTAACATGTCACAGTTGCATGATAGTTACAGTTGACACGAGAACTGCACGTTGTCCAGGGTAGTACAGGGCCGACTGATGGCACAGTGGTTAAACTGGTGTACTGCAGCCAAAACTGTGCTCACGACCTGGGGTTAAATCTCAGGTAGCCAACTCAAGGTTCACTCAGCCTTCCATCCTTCAGAGGTCAGTAAAATGAGGACCCACCTTGCTGCACAGGGGGCAATGCGTAGCCTGCATAATTAACTTGTAAACTGTCCAAAGAGTGCTTTAAGTGCTATGGGGTGGTATACAAGCAGCACACTTTGTTTTGCTTTGCCTCATGAGGAAATATTGCTTACCCAAGGTTAGTGGAGTTACTGTATTAGCTTTATCCAAGCAAGATCTGCATATTCATCTCTCCTTGTTCCTGGAGCTACTAAGTTGCTTTAGCATCTGCCTGTACAGCCGCATTTGATTTTGAAATGGCACATTCACCTACCCCCTTGATTTGATGTGTTTTTCCCTGCCTATAAAAATGCTCCTACTACCCCATACTTCCTAGCAGTATGTGAGCAAATATGCAGCGTGCTGCATTTTAAAATAACTAGTATACAAGTGTTCTAATTAATTACTATATGTGGTATCAGGAAGACAAAATCAGTAGTTATATGGGACCCTAAATTTATACTAGATAACTTAACAACAATACATAATAAAGCAGCAGTTAAATTCTAAATTTACTGCAGTGAATTGAAGATTAAAGTACTGTATATTGTATTAGTGTACTGTGATGGTTAATGTTACCCAATGCATTTGCTTCTCGTATAGTTAATTATAATTTTGTCATTCTGTATACTTATTGCCCCTGTTTTCTGGACCCCTTGTGTAGGTCAGGCAGCTTTTAACCACAAGACATTTCAAGATATTTTCCATATGTCTCGTCGGAGCTTTAACAAAACAAAAACCATGTAGCATGCTCAGATCTCCAGTGATTAAAACAAACATGCATGCATGTCTTTTGAATTACCTTTAGTGCCTTATGATGCAAGTGACACACTGTCCCAATTACATTGTCCTATGTCTGATTCCCTATACAAGATATACTGCCTCACGCATTTGGATTTTCAACACCTGGTACATTTATCAACATTCTGATGAAATTTGAGAAAAAGGAGAGCTCTCAAAAGTTATGTGAACCCTCTGGGTCTTGCGAAGGACAGACTAGATACTGTGTTATTAATGCAGTATGCACAATCAAAATTCTGTGCTGGTCTGTTGTTGCAGTTCCATGGGATGTTTCCAATGCCATCAAATTTCAGAATAACTTGGAATTCTCTGGAGAAGATGGTTCTGCTTTCATTAGTATAAGATTCTTAGCCAGCTACTCTGTATGTTAAATTTCTTTTCCTACAGTAAGTACTTTAGACTCAAAGCAAGTTTGATTTTATTTTTGATCAGGAAAAATTCTTCTAATACATAGCAGTAAATCTCTTTTCTTTCACACCTCTTGCCGGTTGTGCTGCTTGTACTTGCATGCTATGGCTTTTAATAAAGGACAAATTCTGCAATAACAAAGGAGGTGGATGTTTTCCCAGTGGAAAGCGGCCTCGCCTCAGAATGCTTTTCAGATTTTTATTATTACACTTTGCACACTCTTAGTATAATGCATATTTTGTTTCTGATTCACTTCCTTTAGATATATCGTGTTCTTTTTCCTACAGCATTCTAGCTTCAGCCTTTCTCCTTGGAGATGCTGCTTGTATTCATCCACTTTGTTTTAACCTAACAGGATTTTGTTTGTTTATATTCAAAATAGTTTCCATAAATATCATCTGCAACAGCACTCCTATTCAGGGCTCCAATCAGCCTGGAACAAGAGCCTTGCCTTCAGGGCTTACAGAGGAAACTGGGAAATGTTTCAGGAGGAGTAAAGGCACTTTGGTGCTTTCTCCAGAAACCTGCTGACCAGTTCTGGAGTTAACTTGGATAGCAGAAATTAAGGATAACTGCAGGGGTTAATTACGTGAGAGTCCTTCCTTCTCAATTTTTTTTCTGGCTGCTCTCATTGATAATATTTCACATTCATGACTTGGTTGTCCTCAAGATTCCCTGAATTGTGGTAGTCACTGAGCACAGATTCTTATTTTGCCTTTAAAAAAAAAACCTTAAGTGGTATGATCGAAAAAGATTTGGAACAATTGTCAAAATTTCAGTTATCATTTATGGGGAAGATTGTAGCTGTGAAGATGGATATATTACCTAAAATGATATTTATTTTTCAGACAATACCAGTCCTTACAAAACAACTAATACTTCAAGAACTTACAAAAAAAATAATGAAGTTTGTCTAGCAAGGGAAAAAACCTAGAATAAAAATCAAAGCACTTCAAGACGCAGAACAAAGAGCACGCTTTGGACTTCCAGATTGGTTTTTATGTTATAAAGCCTGTGCTCTAGTTTGGATAAAGGAATTTATAGTTTTAGAAAATGACAGAACACAAAAACTAGAAGGACATAATTTAAATTTAGGATGGCACGCCTTCCTATGGTATCAAAAAGCAAATGACAATAAACAATTTAAGACCTCTAACAAATGTTGGATATGCAAATTAAAAGAAGGTAGTTTTTATCATATGTGGTGGTCTTGTAGGGAGGTTAAGAGCTTTTGGAAACTAGTCCATGAGTTTTTACAAAAAAAATGTTATCTATAATTCCATATGAACCTGAACTGCTTTTGTTGAATATAATACCAGATTCAATAGAAAAAGAAAAAGGAGATACTTGATCATAATGAAACTGCAACAGCAAGAATTTTAAATGCCAAATACTGGAAAAAAGAGGAGACTCCCAACAATCCAGAACTTTTTTTCAAAACAGCAGAGATGGATATTTTATAAGTATTAAAAGACAAATTGTTGAGGCTAGAAAAAAGTGGGAACCTTTGTATAATTGGATGAGAGATGAGAACATGAATGGATTAAAGTTATGAGAAAGAAGATATAAAATAGTAGAAAAAGCTCAGAAAAAAATGGCAGGATAAGTGTGAAGTAAACCTAGTAGGAAAACATATAGGCAAAAGTAATATATTATTCTCTATCACATTCTGTATTTTTATTTACCCCAGTATCCTGTTCCAGATCCCCTTTCCCATGATCTTCCCTTACCCAATGATTTTAAAAAAAAAATTAAAAACAATTTTTTAAAAAGTCATTAAAATTAGTGGAGTAATGTGTGTCTGCATCAGCTGTGTGGAGCCTACTTTTTTTTGTCCATCATTGCATAGAAACCTTAAGAGTTCCCACAACATCATTTTTGGTTGAGTTGTGTTTAATTTTAATAGTTCTCTGAAATTCAGAATTACAGGGATGACAAAACTTCCAGTGTGTGCACAGGTTGTGGGCAAGTTATCTGTTCATGAAGGATGTTGTGCTTAACCAGCGAATACAAAATACCGAAATGCCAGGATCCAAAAATACACCATTATTGAAACAGGCTTTGTATGTATGAAATCAGAGGTCAAAGATTTTGATGCTTTACTTTCTGTATTCGCCTCTCCCAACAACCCCTCTCTGTGCATCTGTTACTGTAATTTATCCACCTGTTTATGCAACATGTTCAATATAAAAGTAGCTTTATAGTAATCTCTTATGGCTATTCTCACAACACTAGCGTAGTTAATTCTAATCCATTACTTAGGTAGGAATCTGAAAATGGAGGATTGTGAACTATTCAATGCTACCCACCTGGTAGCTCTACAACTGAGATAGGGCTAGGCCTATATTTCCCATTAACTGGTCATTCTTTCCACTAGGTAAACACTTGAAAAGTAGATGGGGAGGTCCTTCATTCTTAATTTCTTGTTCTTTTTTCCTTCTGATCCCTGACAGAAACGAGTATGTAGAAGTTTGGAGACTATTCCACAGTCGATCAGTTCTTGCCACCCACCAAGCAAGTGTGCTGTGGATTATTGGGATATGGAGCAGGATTTGACACAGAAAAGCCCCACTGAATTCTCCACCCCTCGTATTATGAAAGAAAAAACACATGACATGGTATGTTTTATGCAGCCCAAATCCATACTTCTAGGAAATGTTAATCCATTTCATAATAAAAATGTCAAATAATGATGCTTGGATTTTGGTGTGTGTTCCTTTTTGAGAATTTTGTATATATGTGTTTGTTAATCAGATACTTCAAGATAATGAAACCAGAACTGCTGCCCAAACTTGCCTAAGATGTATGGCTGGAGAACCTGTAAGTATATTAACCTTCCTACTATGACATAGCAAGATAGACTTTTTCTTAAATATTAGAACTATAAAACATAAGGTTCGTATTTGGTGAAAAACAAAAAGCCCTGCAATTACATTTCTCAGGAGTAAAGCATGTAAAAAAAAAAGAGGCAGGTTGAATTAGGTTTTTCTCAGTGTGCTTGAAGAGTGCAAACCAACAGGTTTCTTGCATCAGTTTGAAAATATAGGGAGTGCAAGTTCATGTTTCTGATCTACTGAAGATCTACTGAAAAGCCAAGTTTAGTTGGGTAGTAGATGAAATCTCCGTTCAAAGTTTAAAATGCACTCTCTTTTAGGAGTATGTCCAGTTAGGAGGCATTTAATATTTATAAGTAGAGATTTAGAAGTATTTTTTACAAACATTCATGATGATTGAATGTGGATGAATAATTACATATTACATTTAGATATTTTTCAGTGTGGTAATGTAAACCAGTTCAGCTGAAGTCTGGGGGTTAAGAATTACCGTACTCTTTTCCCAGCAAAAAGATTGTACTTCGGTTCAAGCCTGTCCCCATCAAAGTATTTTCTAACTACCATGCAGGCTTCCTCATTCAATTCGCTATAAGCCATGTATTTATTTGCTGATGTAGTGCTAGCCCTTCTGACTAAGATTTTGTAAGTGGGAATTCCAGAGTGTCATGCTGCCCTTGCTAAGTTATGCATGGCATTATACTTGTTTATCTTAGACTCTACATCCACTATTAGGTGGCATTTCCTTTGGACACAGCATCTGAAATTTCTCAGGCTTGCTAAGGCTACAAATTTCCTTCTATTTTTATCTTATTCTCAGTACAGTGCAAATGTGGAGTTGTATAATAGCACCTGTTTTGAATCAGCTAAACTTCTTTTCTTTTCTTTTTCATTTCAGGGGCACTTTGGCCATATTATGAGTTTATAGGATATCAAAGGATATGCATTGATACTCCAGAACAAAAAAAAGTTTCAAGCTTCTCTTGAGTTCCTAGATTTTTCTACACCCCTCTGAAATTGTATATATGTAATGTACATAAGATCTCTTGTGGGTTTTTTTAATGTTCTCACTAGAACCTCATTTTGTTTACCTTTTATATAATTTAAAATATGTTTTCAAAGCACTGCTCAGCTTAGCGATTCTCCCACTTTCAACATGTGTACAAGAGATATATATTCATGAATGTGGGTTAACTGCAGGCAGACAAAAAAGTGGAGACTGGTATTTTTACTTCTTGTGCATGTATGTTGTGAATATGTAAAATTACATAATTATTGAAATTCATGGAGATGGTGACAGTGTGAAACAAATGTGGTGAATGTCCCAAAACTGAACAGTTTTCTCCACTATTAAAATACCCAGCTGGCTGGGTAGCTCAGTGGGTTGAAGTTTAGACTGCAGAGCCAATGCTTGTGAATTCAATTCTTGACTGTGCCTTGTAGGATATACAGAGTGCCCCCCCCCCCGTAGAAGGGAATGTACCCCTTCTGAGTACTCCATAGAAAGAAAACCAGAATTGACTTTACTACACATATTTGTTAACTACTAAGATACACACACTTAGAGTTGCATTTAGTTGATAGTATTCATCAGTATATATCTGCATCTTCAGTAATGCTGCATGTGAACCATGTATTTTGAAAATACCATAAAATGTTCACAGTACTTCTGAAGTTATTTCAAAGCACATAATCACATTTTTCTCTCTTCTTTAAGGCAAATTTGTAGAATGCACTGCCTCCTAGGAAGCACTGAACTGTAAAGGTATTTCCCTTTCAGCTGGTGAAATACATGATGTAAAGTCCCTTTGCAGCGATTGAGACTCAAAATGTACCTTTGTCACTGCTTTGGCATATTCTTGTTAGGAATTTGACAGACCATCTCTGTGGCTTGAAATAGATCCTTTTTCCCTTCTTTATTTTCTAAATAATCTTGAAAGCTTGAGTGCCACTTGGTCTGCCCACCACCATGTCCAAATATTTTTATCATAGCAGTCTGCCCACCACCATGTCCAAATATTTTTACACAGGAAATGAAGTTTTGGCCTGATTATCCTCATAGATTCTGGTTGGATAGCTGGATGAGTTAGGTACCTATTTCAAGCCACAGGTGGAGTCTGTCAAGTTCCTAACAAGAATATGCCAGCAAATATGAAAAATAAAACAATGACTCACTAACTGGCAACATTCTATATGTATTCCATTTCCCAGGACGATGCCAAGGATTGCAGTAACCATAGGAATATTGCTTTAATTTCCAATTGAAGCAAAGTGTTGCAGTAACCATAGGACCATTGCTTTAATTTCCAATTGAAGCAAAGTGATGCTCAAGGTGTTGCAACAAAGGCTTTTACTTTATAAGGAGTTAGAAATGCCTGATATTAAAGCTGGATTCCAAAAAGGAAAAGGCACTCAATATCACATTGCATATCCGCTGGCTGCTGGATTAGTCCAAAGAATTTCAGAAGGACACTATGCTTTACAGACAACAGCATATCCTTTTATTGTGTAAATCATGAGAAATTATGGATTGTTCTGAAAGAAATGGATGTACCTTAGCACTTGATTGTCCTGATGTGTATCTTATGGGCAAGAAGCTACTGTTAGGACAGAATGAGAGACAGAATGGTTTGCCATAGGCAAAGGAGTCAGAAAAAGGTGCTTTTTAGTCCCTTATTTGTTCAGTCTGAGTGCAGAAATCTAGACTAGATTCAGATGGAGAAGTGCAAATTGGTGGAAGAAACATCAATAATTTAAGATATGCATATTATACTATTTTACTGTCAGAAAGCAGCAATAACTTGAAACAACTTAAGTGAAAGAAGAAAGCCCCAAAGCAGAACTGCAATTGAATTAAAAGGAACAAGATAATGACTATAGAAGAACTACAAAACTGTAATGTTGACAATGAAGCAATCCTCAGTCCAAATGGAGACTGCAGCCAAGAAATCATAAGAAGATTGAGAAGGGTAGCAGTGAAGACATTAGAAAAGATCACCAGGTGTAAGGAGTAGACCTTTGGTCTAGATAGGCGGGGTAGAAATCTAAATAAATAAATAAATGTGTCACTGGAGATCAAGGCCAAAATCATTTACACTCTTATATTTCCGATCAGTGTGAAAGTATGGAGATTAGAGAAAGCTGACAGGGGAAAAAAACTAATTCATTTGCAATAAGGTGCTTTGCAGATATGCTGGACTGCCAGAAAGACAAGCAAGTGAGTCCTAGAGCAACTGAAGCCTGAGGTATTCTGGAGGCAAGAATGATGAAGCTGAGCCGGTCCTACTTTGGGTGCATCATAAGAAGGCAGAATTCTCTGGACAAGACAATTATGCTGGGAAAGGTTGAAGGCAGCAAGAAAAGAGGAAAACCAAATATGGGATGGATTGACTCTCTAAAAGAACCACAGGCTTGAGTTGAGGACGAGACATTTCAGAGATTGCTCATCCATAGGGTTGCCATAAGAAGACATTTCAGAGATTGCTCGCTCATAGGGTTGCCAGAGGTGACTTGATGGCACATAACAACAAATTAGAAATATACTTATTTCTGTTATAGGAATCCAAAAAGTGTGACATTCTATTTATGTACTGAAAGGATTCCCAATGAGATCAGTAAAACAACCTTAGAAAAATGACTTGAGGTCTATGGAGGCTCCAATCCTGTGCACACATACCTGGGAGTAAACCTAATTGAACACAGTGGGAATTACCTCTGAGAAAACATGCATAGCATTGCACGGTTGGCAAAGCAATGGTTTCAGTGACCTCTTAACCCCATGTATGGAAAGATGTAGATTGTCAAGTGCACTCGTTTCCCTCCAGACCCACCTGACTTCACATATTGTCCGTAAACTTTGCAGTTGGGCTTCTATGTGTAGAGTCTTGCACATGGAAGTCTCGGTATGTGCAATCATTATGTCTCAAAACCTGCAGGTAAAGACCATATGAATCTGTTATTAGACTTTGCTTGTATCTGCCTTATTCTAGTGATACATCTCCATAGAGATCAGGGAATAGCAAGTACTAGTATATTATTGGCGCTCTCCACTGCTTCTGACCTGGAGCCCTGTGGGAACAATGCGCTGACATTCCTAAAAAAAACAACAACCCTGGTCATGAATCTGAGACAATCTCTTGTATAGTTATCTCAGGACTGAGACCAACCTCTGTCCCTGTTTCTAGAGACAGAGGATGCTGTTTTATCATATACATTTAACATCTACTTTCTTCTGCATAGGATGTGAGAAATGTGTAAAACATGTCGCTGATGAACTCTGAACTGAGTGGTAGACCTTCACTCATATTCTCAAAAGACAGAGCCTTAAACCTGATTGAATAGAAAAGTCGTTGTCGTTGTTAAAAGGTCCATATTTAGGGATCTAGATTTGGGCACATGCAAAGACAGACAGACCTCCAAACCTTTTGTCTCCACAGCAACCCCTCCAGCTCCCGAAATGTTCCATGGAGCATCAGGAGCCTCTACTGTGGCACTCAGAAGTCCTGTGCCTCAATTTGGGAGCTGTATCCACATATTTACTCTTCATTTCAAGCCCCCTATGCCACATCCTGTCTAGTTCAGAATGGTCCGCACACTCCTTGTAGCATTCTGAGGAGGCTGAATGTTAAAGGAACAGTGGGGCAGAGAGGGACAGAAGCTGTGTGGGTATCTTATACACCTGAATCTAGACCCAGTCCAATGGATTTTTTCTTTTAATGTTCAACATGACAGTACAGCAAGCATGAGCCATTATGTGCTAGCCCTTGAAGTCTTCAATTTCATCTCAGAAAATTGACTTATTAAAAAAAAAGAGTCTGTGCATTAGTAATTATTTTCCTAATAGCCAACAGAACATGTACAAAGGCTAATGTGCATTGTTAAAATGGGATCATAGAAAGTTTTTAAAATGTTTTTATAATGTGTAATATATTTTATTTTTTAATCTCCAGATCTTACAGTAAAAGTGTCATAAGCAGAAAAAGGTTGTTTTTGAACTTTCAGCAATATTCCTTTTTTGCTTTAAAATGAAAAATGTAAATTTATGTACATTTATAAATCATTTGTATGCAGAATTGAGGAGTGCTACTTTCATATTTGTAAAACAAGAAATAGATTTCTATTTTTTTTAATTAAGTGGATAAAGTTCATTGTGTTTGAACTTTAGATCTTTGTATTTTTAAATAATTATTACAGTATATACAAAAAGTTGAAATTCTAAGTAGCACCTTGGTTTTAAAGGATGGCATTGTCTAAATTTCCACTTCTTTATTGTTACTTTTTAAAAACCAAGTAAATATGTGGGGAAATTAAAATTTACCTTCCTGGAAAAGTTGGCTTGTACATCTGTTTCCTGATTTATTGCAGATAATTCCAGTTTTCTGTTTGATGGTTTCTGTTCCTCAAGGTTTTACTGTTGCACAGTTTTATGGAGACATGTTGCACTGAAATAAATATTATGTACTTGGAGGATCATACTTTGTCCTTTTATTTGCTTTTTTTCTAGAACAGCAGGATTCATGTGGAAAACATAGTTGAGTTTACAAAGTTATCTATATGTGCACCACTTATAAGTGAAAGAAGTAATTAATCCCCCTCGTCTCCTTTGGTAGCTTCTCCCATGTGGTTTCCTACAGTTCACCCCTAAATGGTGGTCATGTTGGTTGGGCCTGATGAAGATTGTAGTCCAAAAAAACTCTGGAGATTTCCTAGTTTGAGAAGGTGGTCCTGTGAATGAATGTGGCAATTACTATGATGCGTAAAAGTGGTTGCTCTTGAACAAAAGAACCACAAAGGGAGACTCCAGCATGAAGCTGCTGAATTGCAGCCTGAAGAGGTTCAGTTGTATCCATTTTGTCTCAAATCATAACAAATGGTTTATTGCCCCCCCTACAGATATTATGTAATTCGTTGTTGTTGTGGATTTCCTCTTAACTCATTTCAAATCACAAACCATCTTTTTTACCCTGTGAGTGCGAAATGGGATAATACAAATCCATTGGGGTGTTGCCCTGCCTCAGGGGTGAACAGCTGCCCTATAGTTGGCCAATCCATTCTGAAGGAAATCAACCCGGAGTGCTCACTGGAAGGACAGATCCTGAAGCTGAGGCTTCAATACTTTGGCCATCTCATAAGAGAAGACTCCCTGGAAAAGACCCTGATGTTGAGAAAGAGTGAAGGCAAGAGGAGAAGGAGACGCCAGAGGATGAGATGGTTGGACAGTGTCATCGAAGCTACCAACATGAATTTGACCCAACTCCAGGAGGCAATGGAAGACAGGAGGGCCTGGCGTGTTCTGGTCCATGTGGTCACAAAGAGTCGGACACAATGACTAAACAAAAACAACAAAATAGGCCAAAAATCAAACAAATCCTACTTACTTACTTACCTACTTACTTACTTATTTATTTTATTAGATTTATACCCCAGCCATCTAGACCAGCGGTTCTTAACCTTTGTTACTCAGATGTTTTTGAACTGCAACTCCCAGAAATGCCAACCAGCAGAGCTGATCGTGAAGGCTTCTGGGAGTTGCAGTCCAAAAACATCTGAGTAACAAAGGTTAAGAACCAGCGATCTAGACCAGTGGTTCTTAACCTTTGTTACTCGGATGCTTTTGAACTGCAACTCCCAGAAACCCCAGTCAGGACAGCTGGTGGTGAAGGCTTCTGGGAGTTGCAGTCCAAAACTCCTGAGTAACCCAAGGTTAAGAACCAGTGATTCTAGACCAAAGGTCTACTCTGGGTGGATTTGGTTCCCTTTTGCACATTTGTCCAGACAGTGCACATGCCTAGTCTCCATGCATATTTTGCACATTTACTTTTTAATGAATACATTCAGTTTTAATGTAGGCCTCCCAGACCTTGCTTAACTTTTGTTTTCATTTGTATCTGTGTGAATTTAAGCCATAGGGCACATTCATAAAGAAGCTTATCCATGTTTCCCTATCATGCCTACAGTTGAGAGAACTATAATGCA